ATGCGCCAGAGGCAAGCGAATCAACTTAAGGGATGAGACACTCGAGATCTGTGCGGATCCGCTCTTGTTTTAACGTGACACGCTTCCAGAGACGAATCGTTTTCCCTCGGGATCGTCGTTTCCTTTTTCCAAAAGTGTACATTTATTGTGTAAGAAAAAGAGAAGAAAGAAGGACAAGATAATATAATTTAATCGTCGCATCTCTTCGTGTGAAACGTGTTAGGCGAATTCCTTTTTAATTGTTTTTCGTTAATACAATTGTCGATATCCATCTTACCGTTGTTATCTTTTGTTTTAGTGCGAAAAATAATGTTTAACTAAATTTCGATCTTTCGCGGACGACTGCCGCCATCTTGGCGTTATGTCAAACTTTCGTATCTGAAATCGAAAGTTACAAACAATTCCACCATTTAAACCATAAAATATCAGTTTTTGTTTTTCTTAGTATTTAAGAATTCGGTGTATACATTAGTTTTCAACAAAACAAATTTTTAACACTTTGAAAAGTGCAAGCCCGCGGAGAATTGAATTTAGGCGGTGGATCACGCATCGAGCTACGAGTCGTCTTGATCGAAAGGTATTATTCAACGTTCTTTTCCCGTTTTTTTTATAAGTATATTATTTTATTATACAGAATATTTTCGAGTGGTTTTAAGTGAAATTACAAATACTAGTAACGTTTAAATAATTTTCAACGTTTTAGTCGTATCTCCGATGCACGGGAAGAGATCTGAACAGGGATCGAGCGTCTCTCGCACTTGCCCCTCCTCAAAGAATTTAACCGAATACATATTACATTTTGTACTTGTGTAAATTAGTGAACTATTTTCCAGTATTGATAAGATTTCGATGCATACCGTTCACACTTTCTTCCTCTCGCCTCACTTTATTCTCTCCCGCTTCTTTTTCTTCTCCTTCTTCTCTTTCTTCTTCTTCTTTTTCTTCCTCTTCTTCCTCTTCTTCCTGTTGAAGAGAAAAAAAAACAAAATGGTGATGAAATATGTTTCGTGATTTAGCAGCCATACATGTGACTGTGATCTAGGAAAACAGAAGTAAAGTAAAATGGCGGCTATACTACTGGCATTTTCTTCACCACAACGTGTAATTCTCTCTCCCCCCTCTCAATCCGATAGCTCCGCATCCAAATTCATTCTCCGTGTATAAATAAATAACGCAATCGATCGGCCACGACTCTATACACGCCATTACCATGCCCATCCCCTTAAAAAAAAGATTCAAGGTTATTTCTTTTTTTTATTAATATTCTTATTATTATTATTAATATTATTATTATTATTTACAGTAATGTATTTTTAGTATGTTCTAAGTTGCTATCGACTATTATAGTCATTTTATTATTTCTTGTTTAATTCTGAAATATTTTTAAAATTGTTATGAATAATAATTATTATTACTATTATTATTATCATTATTATTATTGTCATCAATCATCACGATCACCATTATCATCGCCGTCGTCATCGTCGTCGTCATCATCATCGTCATCATCATCGTCATCATCATCGTCATCATCGTCATCATCATCATCATCATCATCATCATCATCATCGTTATCATCATTACCATCGTCACCATCATTATTATCATCATCATCATCGTAATCGTCATCGTCATCGTCATTATCAGTCACCGAACCGATGTTAAATGATAAATGAAATATAATACCGAGAATAGAAAGAAAACTGAAACTACTGTTTAGAAGTGGTGAAAGAAACGACTCTCTCTTTGCGTATGAACGATAAACGGTGAATCTTCGTTAATTGTACAGCATCGGTGCATTGTGTTAGGGAAACGTATAGGTAAATAATCAAGCGTAATTTGTAACGAGAAATGAATTGCGAACACGGTCGTACGTTTGACAACTTTAAACAACTCGCATACAAACACACATACACA